ATCTAGTCTCATCTCATACATAGTTAATTTTAAATTACTGCAGGCCCCCGCGGCCCGCACTTCCGTGACGCGCTTACGTGCCTCATCTGCTTTCATTATGCTAACTCACCGTCACCGCCGCTTGGGGAACGGAGGCAGCATCCACCTCTCCTCTCGTGAGGCTGCTCCGGTCCCCACCGAGTGAAGTGGGTCATTACCACGAAGGCAGGTTTGGTCTCTCAGGACAGAACATTTTCTTATTTCTTGCACCTCCCCAAAGCAGGTTGCGTTATCTCCCGCTCAGGAACCACATTATCATGTTACCTCCCTGAACAAGCCCTCAGTACTCACCTGACTCACGGCTGACGGAGACAACACTCTTACCAAGGGATGGACGCATCGTCACTAGCTCAGGAAACCCAGCAGATCGTCTTTTGGTCTGAGGCACCCACGTTAAGCAGTGCAAAAGCAGGCTGCAAATGAGGAACATTTCCAACTCCTTCCTAAAGCACAGTGAATTGCCATACCCCAGGCCTCCAAACCCAAGCTGCTCCTGGAAAGAGTTCACCAATTGAGCTGAACTTGGCCTCAAAGCAAAGAGCAAGCTCTCGCAGCTCACCCAAGCCTACTGCTAGCAGCTGCCTCTCACTCAGCACATCACTGTTGCTGCCTGCTGGGGGCCTCTGCTGCTTCTTCCCCATAATCTCTGTCACCATGCCCAAAGATCTGCAAGTCCTCACTACGGGACATTTTCTCTCTTAAGACCTACCATGCTTATGAAGAGCCTAGAGGCACAACTAGCTGCTGCAGATGTCTCAGGAAACGGCAGAGGTGATGGACTTCCTGAGCCAGAAACACTAGATTTCATCATGAATTCTCCCTTTGTGCTTAAAAAAAACAAGCAAACAAGCCAACAGCAAACTGTAGCATGTGCTTCAGCAAGCTGGCATTGCAAAGGGGCACAAAAGGCGAGGGATCATCCATCGCACATCCCTGGAGCAGAAAGCTAACGAAGGCACTTTCTCCTCCCGCCCTCTCCCCATTACTTCGGTTATCCAACTGATGAGATTAGGTGTTTGATCCCGGTCAAGGAAAGCTAAATGTCAGTCCTGCGTTTTCAGCTGCCCTTTGCATCAGCCCCACTGGGCACATTTGATCAAGAGGAGGCGTTCCTGGTGCACTCCTCGTCGTGCTCCTGCCAGCATCTGCTCTGCTTCTCTGCGACCCGGAGAAAGCACGTACCCTCCCTCTCACAAACATTAGATATTTCTGTGGTGCTCATTAAAGCCTCAAAGCTCAGATTGGGTAGCTCCTATTTTAAGCCTCTAATGGCCCAGAGAGGAAAGTGGAGCGTGGACAAGGTAAGGAAGAACTCAGAATCCCATGGTGAAAATGGCTCTAAACTAGAGGATGCTGCACAAGAAACAGATGCGACAGCAGCTACCTGTGATAGGAACGTCCCTCCCCAGCACCGGCAGTGACAGACATTTAGGGAAAG